AGCCAAAGCAATGTATTCTACAATTTATTACTTTTTTAAGGCCATAGCCCTCATCTTTTACTTACACTATGTCCCAGTGCTTTGGGGGATGGATGACATACTCGTACTTCAGAATCCCAGGATGAAATCTTCTAAAATCTATTTTAAAAACCTGAACTTCAATTTTCCACCTGAGTAACACAAACAAGGACATTTTGTTTTGGAAATAACCTCTACCCAATTATGTTCTAAAGAAATAGGTTGTGATATTAAGTATTTTTAATCAGACAACCATTTAGGAATTGAGTCTAAATATCATAGGGACAGATGATGAGGTTTAAAAAAAATGTTATGCAGTTTTTATTTCACCAGTTAAATGCATCCTACTGTAGGACCTTTCAAAGTGTAATGTGAGATAGAAGTTATAAATAATCTTATTAAAAAGTTTAGTCTATTCTTAGTGAATGACCATCTAACTAGAGAGCAGTCATGCTAATTGGTCAAACTCTGCAAGGGAGAGAACAATTGCTTTAGGAAGTACTGACACCCCACTTGAAATCACGTTAGAAAGCCTAGAGAGTGCAAAGTTAATAACCCTTCCAATAAATTTGAAAGTTTTTGAGGATATGTCTTGTTTATACTCACAGCATTCAACATTACGACTCTCAGTAAATCCATATGCTTACCAGTAACAAATTTATGCAGATGATTTTTTTTCTACCTTACTCAACCAACTTCGGTGGTTTTTAGTCAAATGCTAAATCTAGATGTGGAAGAGACTTAGTAAATATAGCAGCTAACTCTATCATGAAAAGAAGCCTTGTTGGTAAACATCAGAGTTGTAAGGTTAGTAGTATTCTTTCTTTCATTAACTTTTAATCCCACTGTTCTTAGAAGCTGCTAGTTCTTTTTATCATGAACTGTTTCTTATAATCTATTCCAGCTCTATGATTGTGTGTTCATACTGAATTCAGCATTATGAGAAATATTCATTATAGTACCTCACTGAAAAGATCATGTAGATGAGGCTATTTTGAAATGATCAGAATGTAATTTGTAAAAACTATATAATGGATAAGTTTTGATAGGATTATTATATATTTTCTTTACTTTTTGTATAACTAACTCATGTTCAGAAGGATAAAAAAAAGTTCAAGGGAAGTCCTCATCTAATTATTCAGTTCTCTCTCTTTTCACAGATCTAAAAAACTGAAAATGGTTAGAGAGAGACAGTTTTCCAGAGAACTGGCATTTCAAATTTGACAAAATGAATTCTCCTCTTACCTAGAATTCTCTATATTTTTGTACTTGGTTCTGGTTAACAGAGTGCTGCTTACAGTATCTCTCATTTGTGTAAGTGAAAAATAACTATGTTTTTATTACTTAAAATATTACAAAAAGGGACAATATGCTAAAAATATGCAGTGAACAAATATCATCTGTACAGACTGGAAGAGAACCTTCATAAATTAACCTTATTAGTGCATTACTGTAAGCGAATGCCAAAAAAGCTCCTAATTTGCATTAAGATAGATTTTTCAGGTTGGCTGCATGATTTAATTAAAGAAAAGATTAAGAATCATTAAACAAGCTGCTCTACCTTGCAATAACAGAATTCATATCTGATTCAGGTTAACGAAAACACAGATGGTGATTCAGTAACTGTTGAGTTGCTGTAACAGAATGAAAATGATCCCATTAGTTCTCTGGAAATGTGAGGGAATTTGGAAATTAGTATGCAGATACATTGTATGGTGCTAGACAGCTTGGTCTGCTCGGATCATCGCTGATTATACTTTGTTTGGGTTGGCAACACTGAACTTAATAAATGAAAAAATGTTCCAGTATACCACAGTTGGAAACTGTTCAAGGTTGAAATAGGTGTGCAGGCTTTCAAAAGGAGAGAGTTAAGTAAACAAATGTCAATCAACTCAGAGCTGGCAACTTTTTTTTTCCCCTCTAAAGAATATGTCTGTTCTTGAGAAGCAAGTGTCATAAAAATGGAAACCCTTTACTGGATACATATGTCCGTGTGGTATTTATTATCACAAAAGTATTTTAAATGCATAGTATCAGTTTGGGGGAGATGTGCAAGCGTTTTAATAGCTTTTTTTTTTCCCCTGGCAGAATAGAAAAATTCAGTCACTATGAGGATGATCATATTTTTCACAAAAAGAGATCAATATAATTCTGATGGAAAATGTTATGACAGGATAAAAAAAAGTGTAAGTATAATGGCTATTGAAAGCTTAAAGGTGTCAATAAGAACCACAAAGTAATCCTCAAGGAGCCTTCTGGGAAAGAACAACTTAAACAAGTAGCACAGTCAATCACGGCAGCTGACAGAAACGGCCACTGCATTCAAGATCTCAACTACACACGCTGCCTCCATTTCTAACACCTGGTTCATACCATCAGTCTGAGTGCTCAGCGTCTGACCCTCTGGAATGAATCTCAGTGACTGTGTAAAAGACCCATCTGGACAGAGGTCCTCAAAGGCAGGCAGCAAATGACCATGTTCCGTTAACACGTTACAGTAAAGCAGATACAACAGCAGCGCAGTTTAAGTTGATTTGGGTCTTGTGATTTCCTAGTGACCAACTTAAAGGCCAGAACATTGATCATGTGGACTGCTCAGGGGGTTATCACGAAAATGGAGGTGAGATATTCTCAATTAAAATGGTCCCTGTTTATTGTGTGCTACAGTCTTTCCAGATATTATACTACACCAAGGACTTTATCCTCTATAGAGGCACACCACCTTAAAACATTAAAAAAAAATGGACACTATATAACTCTTGGACAACCCATTCTTTCAGTGTGATAATACTAATCTCATGGAAAACATAACCTCATTTTTGTAATTAGCACAATAATGCTTTAAAGCAGATTGACTTTCCTCTGGCCATTCATTTCATTAAACTTTGAAAATAGAGATACTATTCATTTCATAAAACTTTTAAAAAAGATGTATCACGTTTTTACAAAACTTACTAAAAATTGCAGTCTATAATGCATAATAGCTTCAACACCTGGCAACTTTTAAAAGTATATATGTTATTATAAACATGAGTGTCTTAGTTACAGATGACACCCCCATAGTTCCTCTATTATAAGCCCCTTTTTAGGGCCTTCAAACTAGATTTCTAAGAAAACAAGACTATTGAGAAGAAATGCTACAGCATACTTTCCATGCAGGACAGGATACAAATTCAGTAATTCTAAAAGCCTCTATTCCTTTTAGCCCCAACTTTATCTGCTTTGTCTTCTTTAAGGAAAAAAATCCATGCCAGTTTCCTCAAACACTGTATTGTCAAGAACAATACTGGACTTCATGGAGGAATTCTACCAAATATATAAAAAGAATTTATACCTATCCTTCTCAAACTATGTCTAAATACTGAAGAAAAGGAAAACTCCCAAATTTATTCTCCAAGGCTAATATTACCCAGATACCAAAACCAGACAAAGATATTACAAAAAATAAAATTACTGGCCAATATCTTTGATGAATGTAGGTGCAAAATTCCTCAAAAATATAGCAAACTGAATCCCACAGTACATAAAAGGGATCATATATCACAATTAAGTTGGCTTTCTTTCAGGTTCATGAGGATGGTACAACATACTCAAATCAATCAGTGTGATATACCATATTAAGAAAAGGAAAGACAAAGACCTTATGATTGTCTCAATTGACACAGAAAAAACATCTGACAAAAGTTAACATCCATTCATGATAAAAACTCTTGAAGTGGGTATAGAGGGAACATATCTCAATATAATAAAGACCATTTATAACAAACTCACAACCAACATAATGCTCAATTAACAGTGAAAAGCTGAACACCTTCCTGCTAAATTCAGGAAAAAGACAAGGGTGACCACTCTCACTGCTTCTATTTAACCTAGTATTGGAAGTCCTACTCACAGCAATCAGACAAGAAAGATAAATAAGAGATCCAAATTGGAAGGAAAGAGGTAAAATTGTTACTGTTTGCAGACGACAGGATGCTTTATATAGAGAAACTGAAAAGTCTCCACCCAAAAACTATTAGAATAAATGAATTCAGCAAGTTTGCAAGATACAAGATTAATACACAGAAATATGTTGCATTTCTATACAGTAATAATGAAGTATCAGAAAGAAAAGGTGAAAACACAATCCTGTTTAAAATCACATCAGAAAATACCTAGGAATAAATTTAACCAAGGAGGTAAAAGACCTATACACTGAGAACTATAAAACACTGATGAAGGAAATTGATGATTTAATGAAACAGAAAGATAGTTCTTGGATTGGAAGACATTTATTAAAACGGACATATTACCCAAAGCAATCTGTAGATTTAATGCAATCCTTATCAAAACACCCAGGACATTTTTCACTGAACTAGAAAAGATAATTCTAAAATTTATATGGAACCACAAAAAAAAAAACTCCAAACTGCCAAGGTAATCCTGAGAAAAGAACAACACTGGAGATATAACCCTCCCAGACTTCAGACTATATACTACAAAACTACAGTAATGAAAACAGCATGGTATTGGCATAAAGACAGACACATAGATCAAAAGAACAGAATATCAAGCCAAGAAATAAGCTTAAACACCTATATGGTCAATTAATTTCCAACAAAGAAGGCAAGAATATACAATGGAGAAAAAAAGTCTATCTAACATGTGGTGCTGGGAAAGCTGGAAAGCCATGTAAAACAATGAAATTAGAACATTTCCTCATACCATATATAAAAACAAACTCAAAATCATCTAAAAACCTAAACGTAAGACATGACACCATAAAACTCCTAGAAGAGAATGTTGGTGAAACACTCTGATGTAAATTGTAGCAATATTTTCTTAGATCTTTTTTCTAAGGCAAAATAAATAAAAGCAAAAATAAACAAATGAGACCTAATTAAACTTAAAAGCTCTTGCACAGGAAGGGAAACCATGAACAAAATGAAAAGATAATCTAAAGAATAGGAGAAAATATTTGCAAATGATGTGACCAAGAAAGGGTTAATATCTAAAATATAAGCAGTTCATTCAACTCAGTATCAAAATAACAAATCAATCAAAAAATGGGCAGAAAACTTGAATACACATTTTTCCAAAGAAGACATACAGAAGGACAATAGGCACATGAAAAGAGATTCAACATCATTAATTAGAGGAAGGCAAATCAAAATCATGATGAGCTATCACCTCATACTTATCAGAATGGCCATTATCAAAAATTCTACAAATAGCAAATACTGGAGAGGATGTGAAGAAAAGTGAAACCTTGTATACTGTTGTTGGGAATGGAAATTGGTGTAGCCACTATGGAAACTAGTATGGGGGTTCCTTAAAAAACAAAAAATTGAACTATCATATGATCCAGAAATTCCACTCCTGGGTATAAATTCAGACAAAAGCAAAAACAGTATTTTGAAAAGATACATGCACCCCAATGTTCATAGCAGCACAATGTACAATAGCCAAGACATGGAAGCAGCCTAAATGTCCATGGACAAATGACTGGATAAAGAAGATGCAGCATATATACACAACAGAATACTATGGAGCCATAAAAAACAATGAAATAACGCCCTTCACAGCAACATGGATGGACTGGGCGATCATCATACTAAGTGAAATAAATCAGAGAGAGAAAGACAAATACTATATATCACTCATATGTGGAATCTAAAAAATAATACAAATGAATGTATACACAAAACAGAAATAGTCTCACAGACATAGAAAACAAAGTCATGTTTATCATAGGAGAGAGGGCTGGGGGGAGGGACAAACTAAGGGTATGGGATTAACAGATACAACTGCTACACATAAAATAGATAAGCAACAAGGATTTACTGTATAGTACAGGGATTTATACCCAATATCTTGCAATAACGTAGAACAGAATACAATATTCAAAAAATCACTATGCTGTATACCTGAAACTAACACAGTGTTGTAAATCAACTACACTTCAATTTAAAAAAGAAAAGAAAGACACTGGGTATACGAATTGCATGCAACATACGGTACTGTTTTTAAGTTGAGATGTTTAAGAAAAGAAACTAGATCATGTCATTCACCACTACAGTATGGCACTGTCCCTGTGACAGATCTAATGGGTGCAACCTTCACACTGAATGCACAATAAGCATTAGCTACATTTAAACATGATTATCTGAAGATCTGCAGTCACTCCCCTACCCCACTGTTCAATAATGACTTTAACTAGACTTTTTTTTCTTGTACAATGTCAGCTTTATTTATTATCTCTATGTGTAAATATTCCATGGAAAAATGTTCAGCCAGTGGAACAGAGATTTTGGAAAGTTATGTATGATATATGGCAATTTTTTAATGCTATTTAAAATTATTTAACCCCGTTTCCTTTAAAACAAGAGACTACTCTGTGGCAAATCAGGAGTTACTTTATTATCATGAAGCTGTTAATAGGTGTTGCAATATTAGCTATGCAATGACTTAGAAAAAAGTTGATCCATTAAAGTAAAAACATACATACATAAGGAATAAATAAACAGTGGCCTTTATTTTATAAAAAGCTTCATGATAGGAGTCTATATTATAAGAAGTTAATTCCTGATGGCTATAACTTACTTTACCTAAAATGTAGGCAAATGTTTGCTTCATTCTGTAATGTCCTACATGACATCAAGTTGGGTAGATATAGTATGAATCAAATTTCACAATGCTATATTGCTTAAAAGGCCATTAAAATTAAACTTTAAATAAGTATCAAATATGTATAAAAGAATGAAGGTTTGGTATTGCCCTTAGTTGATCTGCATTTATCATTCCTTAGGTCAATATTTTAAAATTATCTTTTATATTGCACATGTACATTAGCAAATATCACAAGATTCAAATTACTTTATTCATCAGTACTACCCTGTTACTACTTTTATTTAACAGATTATCAAATTGAAAAATTTTAATTTACCCAAACTTTCATAGCTAAACAGGATTGGAACATGGCGCTTCTGATGCCAAATTCATTTACCTTCCCTTCAACAGATCTTAATTTTAATGAATGCAATTATTACAACCCTTACTAGACTTCTGATTCAAAAAAACCATTCCGTGGTAAATAATGCAGGTAAGGGGCAGTTCTGTATTCAGTTTGTACTGTGCCAGACTGATTTTGACTTGTTGACATGTTGCTTTCAAAGTGTTCCATAATTTGTTTCTCACATGTGTGGTCCACTTTTGAAGCAATGTAGACTTAAGTCCTGATCTCAGTCACCACTGGGCCCAGGATGGAGAAAGGATGACTCTGCCACAGCATCAAAATCCACACAAAAGAGGAATCAAGTCTCCATCGGAGGCAGCCTTTGTTTACTTATCCACAGCCAATAGATTAAGGACTACATTTGTTTAGCATTCACTGTTCTGAACAAGTTGCTTCCATGCACTGGTGGGAAAGAGTTCCCTACCCCAAGTTCCTGGAGGAAAGTCAGGTCTCTGTTCCAAGAAAAGAGGGCCCTGAGTTACTAATTATTCAGCAACCAAGTTAATCTGCCTACCTGCCCTGG